TTGTTACTACTAGTAAGGCACCTGTTACTACTAGCGTGGCACTTGTTTCTACTAGCGAACCTTGTTGTGCCTAGGAAAATACTGCCTTGATGTTTGCTGCTTTAGAGGCGCTTTTGGGTGCGGGAACGATCGTCGAGAACGGTGGTCAAGTGTATCCCTCCAAGCTAACAGCGGTCCGATCGCTCCGTTCGTAGCGATGCCCTTTGTTCCGAACGTAGCGAACCTTGTTCCTAGTAGTAAGGCACTTGTTACTAGTGGCTTCTTGTTCCTAGTAGTACGGCCAGGAGCGCCCCTAGTAGCGTCCTGCCGCCTGCAGCTTTCAATCTGCATACCACCACCTGTCCAAGAAAGTTTGTTTTTGCATTACCCTTCTTGCGCTTGAAGTTGTAGCAGGGTTTCCATCTCACTTGTTGCTTGGTTGTGTTGGTTTTTCAGTGTGTTGCTTGGTTGTGGTGGGTTTGGTGAGGGAAGTTGGACGTCCAGTTGACTCTACTACCCTGCAGCAACGAAACAAATTGGACACCAACCAGGAGCATGAAATCCAGTTCAACCTCTTCATCGTTTACCACCCCACAATATGCCAGGGCCACCCTGACGTGCTCAAGGCGCAAGTCGCAAGCTACAGCAATCGCTCTGGAAGAATTGCACCTACTTCTACTCTGCAGGTGCTTCTGTGCGCCGGCGCGTTTGGACCAAAGTTTTGTTAAAGCTTGCTCTTTCAGCGTGTTCAACGCTTTCAGTCAGTATTGCGAGGTCAGTTTCACTGGCGAACAACGCTGGTGAGTCGGCCTTGAGTCTTTGCGTCAAGAGTGCGCATGAGGCATTTTGGCAATGGCCTCCAACCTAGTAGCGTCTTTGCTCCTAATAGCGATGGCCACCCTAGTAACGGAAAACATTCGCCGTAACATGTGAAAGCTGTGAGCTGAAGAGGCATGTTTGGAGACGATGTTGCGAGCTGGCGCCCCTGTGAACACTGCAAACAGAGCCACAGGCCGAATCTGGCTGCGACAGACAAGTATAAATGAGTGGACTACTAGTAGAAACAAGCTACTAGTAACAAGGGCATCGCTACTAGTAACGAAGCTGCCTGTCAACATGTGTCTAATGGGTCAGACTGTCTGGGAGCGATCCCGTGTGGCTTCTTTTGGGAACCGGACTGTCCGTACAGAGGGCCTTCTGAACTCTTTGTACTGAACGTGCGCATTGCGTTCAGTGCGTACAACACAAATCACCCATGCAACGAAGGGCTGCAGTGCCTTTGAACCTAATAACTTGTAGCTATTAGTGATGGCCTCCATCGCCAGTTGTGACTCTGTTGCTAAGGGAGTTGAGGGGTCTCACTAACAGCATCTCACAAGCATATCAGGCTGTGTTTGTCGATTGTGTCGCAGGAGTCTTGGGGTTGGTAACTTGACGGCAAGAGAAGGAGGTAGGAGAGAAAAAGCAAAAGAAAAAGCGAGGGAAGGAGAGAGGAAGGAAACAAGAGCGCTGCTCGAACATGTTTCCTGCTGCTTGAAGCAAGGGAAGCCCTGTTAATGAACAAAAGCACGGAAAGAAAGATCCAAAGCTCTGAGGAGAATTGTCGGAACTTTCGATTAATCCCAGCTTTGCAACCCAACAGCCGGTAGATAGAAAATATAATGTCAATGTATCATAGCACGTAGAAAGAATGCCAACGGATGCAAAAGCTGTTGCCCACGCAGAAACATCCCACCAGATACACGCAACTGTTTGCGGCGTCGCTGCACATACAAGCTGCATTGTGCTGCGTGGAAAGAATACTTTGCGACGGAGACATGCACATTGATGCAGCAAATGGCCGGCATAAACACCAGTAGGGATGCTAGTAGGAACAAGAACGCTACTAGTAGCTCCTGGCCTTACTACTAGGAACAAGAAGCTACTAGGAGCAAAGGGCATCGCTACTAGGAGCAAGGACGCTACTAGTAGCTCCTGGCCTTGCTACTAGGAACTGCATCGTTTGCACGTAGCTGGAAACAGGAGCACACCGCTCTCCCCACATGCGACCACAGTCAGTTCAATTGAAGTTGGACTCAGTTTGATTGAAAGAGCCACATTCTTCACATGGATGCAGGGAACACTGCCTTGGCAGAAGCAGCCAAAGTGGGTAGCGAGGCCGGTGTGCCTGTGAAGTTCAATGGCCTCCAACCCGCCTGATGATTGGCAAATCAAATCGAGCGGGTTCTGTTGCCGTAGGCACTATACCGCCGAATCATACAATATCAGGCAGCAAGGGCAGCGCGGCATGCTTCTGCATACTAGTAACAAGGACGCTAGTAGAAACAAGTGCCACGCTACTAGGAACAGGTGCCTTACTAGTAGTAACAAGAAGCTACTAGGACCTTACTTAATGAATTAGAATTAAAGCAATTTAAATAGAATTAAATTGCAGTAGTGGTAACAAGTATCTTCAGTGCTTTTCAGCACCGTGAGGCCAACGTGAATTGCTCCAATTCTCGGTCACGCCCTGAATAGATTTTTGCAACCGAGTCCTTGCTTCTAGTAGTTTCTTGTTCCTAGTAGTAAGGCCAGGAGCTACTAGTCTTGGGGATCCTTTCCTTCTACTAGGGGGAGGACGTCGCTCTTAGGTTGATTCTTTGTGGCAAGCGTTGCGCATCCGTCCTAGTCAAGTTAGTCAAGTGTTAGGCAAGGATCTTTGCGCAGCTCTGCGCAATTCGCCTGATTGGCACCACACGAGGGACCGTGTGGACAGAAACGCATTCGGTTCTTTTTTTGCGCTCTGTCCACAACCTGATGCCTTTGTTGGGCACTACGCTTCTATTCGAGAAAAGCCTCCAAGGCGTGCTGCCAAGACGCCCACCTAAGAGCAATGGCCTCCACTCCTCTGCAGGGTCTCATCAACTCTTCTGCTGGGACCTCTATGCCGTTCCCGCACGCAGACCTCGCAGCAGGCTTGCCCAAGCGCAAAACGCCACCCGTTTGCCCCAATGAACCAGAGGTTACAATCGCTTCGGGGTGTGGTTGGTGCCTTCGACGCACGGGGGGGGGTTGACTCTAAGGGTGTTAGTTCCATCGTCTCGTTGCGCATCTTCTTTTGCAAATTCGCCAGTCTGTGGCAACCAGGCTTTGAAAGCTTGAAAGCCAGCGTAGAGTGGCAAAGTTGTGGTGTTCCATCGTCGTATTACTACGCGTCGGCTGCCAAAAACATCAAATTCGCACCTGGTGGCTAGGTTGGAGGCCATGATATTTGTTGAACGTGGTAGGCTTGATGCAAGTGGCCAGGAAAGCCTTCGGTACAATTGGTCGAAAACTGCTTTGCAAGGAACACGGTTTCCCCCAGTGAGTATCTGATCTGTCAGGGGGGTGCGCCTTTGGACCACTTCGTTTTCGTTGGTGCGACTCATGCTCCTGCCTCTGAAGTCGCGCAATAAACCTGTGGCAATGTGCTACTAGGGGCTCCTGGCCCTACTACGAACAAGAAGCTACTAGTAACAAGAAGCTAGTAGAAACAAGTGCATCGCTTCTAGTAACAAGTGCCTTACTACTAGGAACAAGGACGCTACTAGTAACAAGGTGCATCGCTACTAGGAGCAAGAAGCTACTAGGGGCTCCTGGCATCGCTACTAGTAACAAGGTGCTCCGTTCGTAGCGTCCTTCTTCGATGTCTGAAAGCCACCGATGTTTGGCCGTCACAATCTCCACAAACGGCGCCCGCCGCTCAACTGCGGAAGGATCCGAGACGGGCCAAACATCGGTGGCTTTCAGACATCGAAGAAGGACGCTACGAACGGAGCACCTTGTTACTAGTAGCGATGCCAGGAGCCCCTAGTAGCTTCTTGCTCCTAGTAGCGATGCACCTTGTTACTAGAAGCGATGCACTTGTTTCTACTAGCTTCTTGTTACTAGTAGCTTGATCAAGGTCTTGCGGCCTGTTCACCACGCGCTCATCCAAGCCCATCAGGCTGAGCAGCTTCTACAGCCGCTTCAGGTTTTTCCACAGCGCACACGCCGCCGAATTCGTCTCAGGCAACAACCCCCAGCGAGAGTCTTGGGCAAGTCCCGGCAGTCTCCAGTTCATCCATTTGTGCACCTAAGGACCTAAGCAGAAAAAGCTCTCTTTGGACTTTTAGAAGCCCTTTCCCTCGGTCTTTCTTCTGTGTTGGAGGCTATACAGTACACAATAGTTTTTTCCTTCTATTTTGTCTTCCTTCTTCGCCTTGCTTCTTCCTTTCGCTTCGCTTCTCGTCTCACTTTTCTAGGCAAGAGACGCCTTTGATGTTGGCCTCAAAAGCTGGACATGACCAGGCGAGGCAAAGGCTTATAAAAATACAGCTCGAGCACAGACTGCACAAACAAAGGTACTGTACAACCTACCTTTAGTTTGTCCGTTCTCTTCTTTGAGCTTTGCAAGTTTTCACGATAGATGAAAAGCACATGTGAAGTCTGGAGGTGGTGCGAATGCTCTTGGTGGCAGGGGCCAATGCCGCTGCAGAGGCGAACATCAAACGTGAGAAAGAATCAGCTGTCTGGGCAGCACGCAGGTGTTCTTGCGCTTTGTTTATTACAATTCTAATGAAATTCTTATTGTTACTAGTAGTAAGGCACTTGTTTCTAATAGCTTTTTGTTACTACTAGTAAGGCACTTGTTACTACTAGCGTGGCACTAATCCTCCAGAACTTTCATCTTCTTCCGCGTTTATGACGAAAGCCAGCTGATAGGCTAGGCTGAAGTTAGTTTATGCAAACGAATTCAGGGGTGTGGGGGCAGGCGCGGCAAACAATCTTGGCCTGCTAGTGTTTCTATTTGTCAACGGATCTGATTTTTTGTGGGTTGGTATTGCATCACTAACATGATCACCACATCAGAGTAGACAAAATGCATCCTTTAGGTTACATGTGTATGGAATGCGCGCCGAAAAGTCACCTGCTGGTTTTTCCTGGCTCTCGTTTCCCCCTTCTCAGGTTTATTTTCTCTTTGGGCGTTGAACATGTTCGTAAATCTTGGACCTGCTGTCGTCCAATTGGCCTTTTCAGCTTGCCCTTGTTACGTTTCGAATCGTCTCTTTTTTGTCTTCAATGGGATTTGTCTGTTTGCTTGTTCTATTTTCTCGTTGCTTCTATTTCCGTTTTTCTTGGCTGTTTTCCCCCGTCCCGTTTTTCGCCCCTGTTCTTTCTATGTGATGTTTCTTTCGTTACTGCCTTGCTTTTTGTGACTTTTTGGACCTTTTCTTTGCATCTTTACTTGCGCTTCTTTTCACCGTTCCTAACCGTTCCTTCTTGCGCTTGTTACGTTTTAGACTAGTAGTAACAAGAAGCTAGTAGAAACAAGTGCCTTACTAGTAGTAACAGGTGCCTTACTAGTAGTAACAAGAAGCTACGTTTTAGACTAAACCTTTTTTCCTTGTGGCGACCTTGTGGTGCGTCTTTCTTGTTGTGCCTCACGGCCCTTTTGGCCTGCTTTTTGCCTTCCTTTTGAAGTTTTGCCTTCAGACCTTCAGCTTTTTAAGTGTGAAACCTTTCTTGTTTGGCTGTTTAAGTGGCTGTTTGATGCTCTTTGATTGCGTGTCATTTTTGCCCTTTTGCGCGTATTTCTTGATTTGGCTGTTGTCTTGTAGGCCTTAGAGACCTTTCTTGCTTTCCTTCCTTCCTTCGATCCTTGTTTTTTCTTCAAGCCTCAAAATGGTTTCCTTTTCTTTAGAGTGTTTAGACTGTTCTGCCACTCTTTGTTTTTCCTTCCTTGTTTCTTTGCATTTCTTAGGTCTTTCTTTACTTGTTCTTTCATGTTTTTCTGTGCTTGTTCCGAATTTTCAAAATTGCAGTTTCTCTTCTATTTGTGTGTCTGTCGTTCCTGAGCAGTCTCACCAATCTCACCAACTCGCAACTTGAAACGAGAAAGACTTTGGGGCACAGAACCCACACCTCGGACATGTTTGTTGGCGAAAGCGTGAGCAACGGACAACTACAGAAACAAAGCAAAGCGTCTTGCAGTTTTTTCTTTGAACAACACAACATCAGCCATGTGTAAAATGCGCAAAGTATGCACCGGACACAAAAAGCGGGGGGGGGGTTTGAGCACAAGTTTGGCGCATAGCCAAGACATTCCTTGCTGCGCCGAAAAAGGCAACGCAAAGCCGAACAAAAAAGGCTTGTCTGAAATAGAAACAAGAAGCTACTAGGAACAAGTGCATTGCTTCTAGGAGCAAGTGCCTTACTAGTAGTAACAAGAAGCGCGGCGCCTCGTAAAGCGAAGCGTTGGTTTAACACAACGCTGGCGGCACCGTTGCCATTTCACGTCTTCAAAACTGGGCAGAACCTGCTCTCTCGTTACAATTCTAATGAAATTCTTATTGTTACTAGTAGTAAGGCACTTGTTCCTAGTAGCTTCTTGTTACTACTAGTAAGGCACTTGTTCCTAGTAGCTTCTTGTTACTACTAGTAAGGCAC